GAATCCTCTAGCACATCTTTGTCTGTGATCCTTCCTCCTTTGTTAAATCCCATCATATATACCTTAAAAACTGAGGAGGCAATGGAGGAAATTAAAAGTTCATCAGAAAGTGAAAGGCTTCTCCAGTAAATTATTAGTATTCTAATTATTCTAGAAGAGTGAGTGTTTTTTTTTCTTTACAGACTTAAAGATACTTAATCCTCAATTTTATGATGCAGTGACCACTTTAATAAAGTGTACTGCATAAAATGCAACATCTTATTATTTTTAATTATTAAATATTTAAATATTATTTTCTCAAACATGAGTGATATAAAACATTTGTCCTTCATGAATAATGCTTTTCAAAAGTTAAACTTTATAAGGCCAAGGGATGTTTAGCTTTTTATTTAAACAGACATCATCATCCATGTAAGTTGCAAGAAATTACTATTTTATAGAAACAGAAAAAAAGCATTAAGTGTGATCTTACAATTGAATTGCATATCACATATAATACAGTATATTTCTTTATATATTTTGGTGAAAGAAATTAACACTGATACTCACATTTTTTCTCAATGGCTTTGTGACATTCTAAATATACAGTACACAGACTGTAATGGAGATTTATGACCACATCTTCTTGCTTTGGAAAGGGCTCTTCTTTGTCAAGAAGAAAGATGGCTTGATAAGACCACGCATTGACTATCAGGACTTGAAACAAATCACAGTGAAGACACAATATCCCCTTGTATTAATATCCTCACTCCAGAGAAGAGGATCAGTGGAAGACATCTTTTAGCCCACGGGACATTAATATCTGGTGATGCCCTTTTCCCTCTGTAATGCTCCTGCTACCTTCCAAGACTTTGTAAGTGATACATTCTGAGCAATACATTACTTATAAGATAAGAACACTTTATTCGCCGTATACAATTTCTTGCATTAGGAATTTGTCTTTTTTGCATACCCCAGTTGCTCTCCATGAGACTCACAGACACACAAATAAGGAAAGAGAAACCTGGGGTCAGAGCACAGGGTCAGCCATTATACAGCGCTCCTGGATCAGCTGGGGATAGGGGCCTTGCTCAGGGACCGCAGGATTTAAACCAGCAACCTCCAAGCCACAGGCGCAGTTCCTTAGCCACAGAGCCACCGCTCTGCCCTTTACTTTGACAGATTCATAGTCATTTACATACAGGACATCCTGATTTTCTACAGTTCGCTCACTAAGCACATTCAAAATGTCTAACAGGTTCTGACCTGGCTCCAACATCATGGCCTGTACACTATGTGAAGCTGGAAAATACAAAGTTTCACATGTCTGAGATAATGTTCCAGTTTTTCCATATCTCCCTTCAAGGCTTGCAAATTGATCCCCAGAAGGATTCAGCAGTATCTTACTTTACTTAAATATTTGCTGCATTTCCTTGTATTTGTACATTTCTACCACTGATTCATGTGCAATTTAATTTCAGTTTTGGCCCCAATTATAGCCCTCACCAAGAAAGGTCAGGAAAATGGAATCCAGAAGCACAGAAAGCTTTCATGGAGTTTAAGCACTACATCACCACGACACCCTGACCCATCTTTGCCCTTCAAGCTAGAGGTGGATGCATCAGTTGTAGGTGTGGGGGCCATCTTGTCTCAACGCTCAGGTCCCTCATCCTCTTTACTCGTCCACTTAATTTCCAGGAAGGTCTCACCCGCAGAAAAACCTAAGTCTTAAGCAACTAGGAATTATTGATGGTAAAACTGGCTTAGGAGGAGTGAAGGAATCTCCTGGAAGGAGCAGCTCATCCATTTCTAGTGCTCACCGATTATATGAACTTGGCATACATTAAGAAGGCCAAACATTTGAACCCCAGACAGCCACATTGGGCTTTTTTCTACTCCAGCTTCGACTTCACCAACTCCTACAGGCCTAGGTCACAGAATGGCAAAGCTGACACTGTCAACAATCTATGCCTCAGATGACTCCTTGGGAGAACCCGCATCATCAGAGTTGATTTCCTCTCTGTGGAAGAAGTAGTGTAGATAGTACTGGCCTCTGATCCCGCACCTCTGGACAACTACCTGGTAAGCTATTAGTCCCTATGTCTATCTGGTCTGAGGTCCTACAGTGGAGACACAGGCCATCCAGGTGTGAACTTTAGACTTTTATTCAATCCCTGCAGGCCAGTTGTAATCTCTCCCAACTCTTTAATGCCCTTGGACTTCCAGAACTGTGGACTTCATCACGGACCTTCCATGTTCTCAGGGGTGCTTAGTGATCTTAGTAATTATGGACTGTTCTCAAAGACTGTCCATTTCGTTCCTCTTCCCATGTTGTCATCCACTTCCCAGGTGGCACATGTCCGCAAAGGAAGTATTCAGATTTTATGGCGTTCCGACTGATATTATTTCCATGCATGTTCAACCCCAGTTCATCTTCAAATTCTCTCATGCATTTTGTAGACGAGGATCAGAGTGAAACTCTCCTCTGGATATCACCCAGAAAAAAATTAGGCTCCCGTATGCTCTTTGTCACCCACTCCTTTGGGACTAACTGTTCCCCCCCTTTGACAGCTTTCAGGAGCTGGTTCCCTGGTGGATCCTGGATTCCCTCGAGGTTCAGGGCAGTGTACTGTATAGCACCAATTCATTGGAGAGGCCATGGGCCGAAAGAAAGATCCTGGGTGAGTGTCCAAAGAACTCCTAACGTGCTGCTCATTCCATGCTTGTTAACCAAGCAAGCCCAGTCTAGAACCCAAATGTCGCTCTTTTTTGTTGTAATGAGTTTCATTTCCAGCTGCATTTATGACAGTCAATCTCTCAATAAATCACCCAATCTGCCCATTAACAGGATAACATGGTCAGGTAGGTTGTCAATACTGCCGGCCTGTAATTAAACAGCACTTACCTGGGGAAGGTATTTATTCTCTTTTTTTCTGACATTGCAGTGATCTGTGAGCTGGCGTTCATTTTTCCCGTGCTTGTGTGGATATTCCCTAGTACTTTGTATTGCTTTATTTTCTGCCAAGCATCAATAAAATTACAACACTGCTTTGGGGATTCTTTTGTTTCAAGACCCACCTACTAAAAGTCTGGTTTGATGGCCACACTCCCAGGGGCATCACAATTTGTATATGTTGTGTGAATATTGTGTACAATGTTGGTCATCAAGTCACAAAAAAGTGGCTGATGCTGCAAAGGGGCACTGTATAAATGGCTTACCCTGCGTTCTGACCCCAAGCTCTCTCCCCATCTGTGTGTCTCATGGAGAGCAAGTTGGGGTATGCAAAAAGACAAATTCCTAATACAAGAAATAGTATAAGGCCAATAAAGTGATCTTATCTTAATGCCGAAAATAGAAGACAATAAAGTGACCTGATACAAATATTCAAGACACTGACAAAATCAGCACAAGGACATTTTCACAATTTAAGAGAAAGACAAACCTGAGGGAACACATGTAAACTATTGTAGGTGTACATTAAGTGTATATCAAATTGATAATGGGATGTTGTTCTATATGCACAGGGTTGTGGAAGACTGGAAAAGAGGAGACAGCCACAAGCTATTACCCTGAGATCTTTCAGAAAATGATCCCCTAATCATCATATGCATGATACTATTATGTAGAGTTATTATCTGTGACACAAGAGAACCCACACATGCAAACAGGAATAGTAATATCACTTGAGGATAGGGTTATGACAGCTACACTCTGGTACATACATGAAATGAATGCCTTAGGGAAGAAAGCTGAAACGAAGACAGCACAGAGAAAGATTATCTCCACCATCTCTCTGTAAGGTAAAAATATAATATGCCTTTCAAAATGGAAATTTGGCACTTCTGAGAAATATGAAATACATAATATTATATTCCATTTTTATTTTTATTATTAAATCACTCAATCTGTTTTATTTTTCAGATCAAAGCAGAGAATATGCAAGCTATTTTAATTTTTATTTAGAAAAAAGGCCTTCCAAAAGAACTGGAAGAGATATACTAAAATGGTCACTGACATCTCACAGTATCTGTAAAATGTTACATTATTAAGCAAATCTGCTAGTGAATGAAATAATGCTGAGCAGATAATGTATTAGAAAGCTACTCTTGCTCATTGCAATGCTACAGTGGTTTCATATTTATTTTTCTTTGTCCTTTTTTAATTTTAGGTTTGAGAAATAGTAAAAAAGGAGGATACTGAAGCACTCTCTCAACAGCTGACAGCAATGGAGATAAACATCACATTTTCTAACCCTGTGGGGTTTCTGATTGCTGGTTTTCAGAATCTGCAGCACAGTGATTATTATTTTATATTCCTGGCTTTCATTTACCTGGGAACCCTGATAGCCAACTCCATTCTAATGTATGTTATATGGCTTTCCGAGTGTCTTCATACACCAAAGTACATAGCAGTTTTTAATTTATCTGTAGTAGATGTGAGCATTGGCACAGCTCTTATCCCAAAATGTATAGATTAATTACTTTTTGACTCAAGATTTGTGTTATATGAATCATGTTTAACTCAGCTGTTCTTCTTTCATTCTTTCTATGCCCTGGAATCTCTTTCCCTTGTTGTTATGTCTTACGAAAGACTCGTCTCTATTTGTTTTCCACTGAGAAGTAGCACAATCAACACAAATGTGACGATGTTCTATATAATTGGTTGCTGCTGGGTTTTAGCTTTAACATATTTTGTTGTTGCAGTGGTTTTTATAGCACGCTTGTCATTCTGCAAACCTATTCCTGTCATTAAGAGTTATTTCTGTGATCATGGAGCAGTGTACAAAGAAGCCTGTAGCAGTAATAGTACAAATAAGATTATAGGTATTGTTTATACTTTTACTTTCATTTTTTTTGCCAGTGGCTTTCATTACTATATCATACGTGTGCATTATAGCTGCCCTTACAAGGATTGCCTCTGCCCAGGGGAGGTGGAAAGCATTTAAAACATGCACAGCTCACTTAGCATTGGTGGCAATGTTTTTTATTCCATTTTTGGTAACATATTTGATTGTATGGTCAAATATACTGGTGGACACTGACACCAGAATCCTCAACACATCTTGGTCAGCAGCCCTTCCTCCTCTGCTGAATCCCATCATATATACCTTAAAAACTGAGAGGGTCATGGAGCAAATTAAGAAATTTATGAGAAAGCAGAAGGCATTTCCAGTAAAACATTAACTTTTTTATTAATCCGTGAGGGTTTTTCTCTGTAGAGAGTAAAAT